GGCGCAGTAAGGAATTATTGGGTTGTAAAGGCCCGGAAGGACAAAAGGCTGTGTTGCAACCGTATGCGGTCAATATTGGAATTAATTTATGGGGAAGAGATATACTACAACAATGGGGAACCTCTATCTCCATACCAACAATTTCCCCTGAAGCAATGCAAATGATGTCAAATAAGGAATGTGATTATTCGCAATTAAATGCTACTGAACCCCAATATGTAACTAAAACGGGGAAAGATTATACTGGGCTTGGATATCCAAATTTAGTGTAGGGGCCACTGCTCGAAAATTTGCATTACCATTAAAATGGTTGAAAGATACCCCTATATGGACAGAGCAGTGGCCCTTAACTCAAGAAAAATTACAAGCATTACACCAATTAATACAAGAACAATTAATAGCAGGGCATATTGAAGTATCCACTAGCCCTTGGAAGTCACCTGTTTTTGTAATTAAGAAAAAATCAGGTAAATGGAGAATGTTGACAGATTTACGAAAAATCAATGAGATTATTCAACCTATGGGGGCATTGCAACCTGGAATTCCATCTGCTGCAATGCTCCCTCGCAATTGGGAACTTATAATTATAGATTTAAAAGACTGTTTTTTTACTATACCATTACAATCTCAAGATTGTGAAAGATTTGCATTTACTGTACCAGCCTTAAATCAAGAACATCCAGCTCAGAGATTTCAATGGAAAGTTCTCCCTCAGGGCATGTTAAATAGTCCAACTATGTGCCAATTTTTTGTTAATCAGCCTCTGGAGGAATTACGTCACATGTATCCTGAGGCACGTATTCTTCATTATATGGATGACATTTTATTTGCTCATCCTCATCAGCAAACATTACAGCAGATGTTACAACAAGCAGAGTTAAAATTTAAAGAATGGGGTTTACAGATAGCTCCTGAAAAAATTCAAAAATGTGCTCCCTGGCAATATCTTGGACAAATTGTAACCAATACTCAGATTATTCCTCAGAAAGTACAAATTAGACGAGATTCTCTTGTAACATTAAATGATTTTCAGAAATTATTAGGAGATAGTAATTGGTTACGTCCTAGCTTAGGAATTCCTACTTATAAGTTACAAAATTTATTTCACACCTTGGAGGGCGATCCAGCATTGAATAGTTACCGTGAACTTTCTCCCCAGGCTGCACAAGAACTTCAATGGATAGAAAAACATATACATGATGCACAATTGGATCGAATTGAATCTCTCGATCATTTACGACTTATTGTATTTCATACTCCTCATTCTCCTACTGGTTTACTACAACAACAAGATAATCTCATAGAATGGATATTTTTAGCTCATAAAGCTCAAAAGAAATTGCAATCTTATGTACAAAAAATAGCTGATATTATTATTAAAGGTAGGTTACGATTAAGGCAACTATGTGGTCAGGACCCACATGAACTTATAGTCCCTTTTTCAAACAAAGAAATACAAACTCTTTTTCAACTAGAGGATAACTGGCAAATTGCCTGTGCTCATTATATAGGTAAAATACATAATCATTATCCTTCTGATAAACGTTTACAGTTTTTGAAAAAGACTAATTGGATTTTGAAAAAAATAGTTCAATCAGATCCTGTTATAGGACCAACTTTTTTTACTGATGCCAGTAAAACGGGAAGAGCAGGATATACTAACAGTCATGATCAAAAGGTGTTACAATCTCCATATGTTTCAGTTCAAAAAGCAGAACTATTTGCTGTAATACTATTGTTACAAGATTATCCAATTGCTCTTAATATAATTACAGACTCTCAGTATGTGGAATTTACAGTTAAAAATATTGAAACCGCTTTTATCCCAGATAATGGATCAGAACTGCATTCTTTATTTTTGCAAATACAACATACAATTAGACTACGTACTGCACCACTTTATATTACTCATATTCGTGCTCATACTCATTTACCCGGTCCATTGGTAGATGGAAATGATTTTATTGATACTTTAGTGGGTACTGTACAATTAGCTACAGCAGAACATCATAGATATCATACTAATGCCAGAGGATTGAAAAATAAATTTAATCTTACATGGAAACAAGCAAAAACTATTCTCCGTACATGCCCGCAATGTGATGCTATTAATCAACCTTGTTTGAATATTGGAGTTAACCCTAAAGGCTTATCTGCTAATACTATCTGGCAAATGGATGTAACTCAATATCCTGGTTTTGGGAAGTTAAAATATATTCATCATTCTGTAGATACCTACTCTCATTTCTCATGGGCAACTCCATTATCTTCTGAAAAAGCTGATGCTGTAATAACTCATTTATTAGAAGCTTTTGCTGTTATGGGAATTCCCGACAGCATAAAAACTGATAATGCTTCTGCATATCATTCTCAAAAATATCAGACTTTTTTTGCCACACATAATATACAGCATGTTACAGGTATCCCAGGAAACAGTACGGGACAAGCGGTTATTGAACGACAAAACCGCACTTTGAAGGACATGCTTATAAAACAAAAAGGGGGAGATGAGGTACAAAGTCCTAGGAAAAGAATACATATTGCTTTATTTACTCTTAATTTTTTGAATCATGGAGAAGATGATCTTAGTGCAGCTGACAGACATTGGACAAAAACAAGTACACAAGAACTTAGACAGCCTGTTTTTATATTAAATGAAAATACTAACACTTGGGAACCTGGCGAGGTTCTTCGTTGGGGCCAAGGATATGCTTTTGTTTCTGCAGGAGCTGAATCCTATTGGGTGCCGGCTAAGAAGATAAAGCTTCGGGCTGGCAACTAAGCGTAGCCTTGATGTGACGGCAATGACGAAGGGATGTGCGGAGATGGATTTGAGCAAGAGAGCATTCCGTGTGCCATTGGATCAAACAAAGAGGGCGTCTCCATTGACTTGGGGGCAAGTGAAAAAGTTTGCGGGCACTGCTGAAAACCTTGTCATTTCACAGGGTAAACCCCTCACTAGCACCAATCTTTTTGTAGCTATGCTGGCAATGTTGTCTGCACAGGTAATAAGCATATCAGCCAATGAGATAAATTGTACTAACCATACTTATTGGACTTATATTCCTAACCCTCCTCTTAATATGGGGGTTACCTGGTGGGATGCCCCAATTCTTGTATATGTAAATGAGTCTGGATGGTTGCCTGGTCCTTTTGATGATAGAGGCCCTTTGAAGCCAGAAGAAGAAGGAAGGATAATAGAAAATAACACTGTGGGTGTTAATGGACCTCCTATTTGTATGGGAAAGGGAGATCATTGCCTTAAAATGAATTATCAGGCATGGTTAAGTGTTGTCAAAAATGAAAGCACATATCATGGGTTATATCTTTTGAGTGCTTATAGTTTTAAAAGTTTTAATTCCACTCTTCATGAAAATGTTTCTGCACCTTATTTGCCTCCATGCCAGGTGCCTCTTGTGGATCGATTATCGGATTGGGTCCATTGGACTCGATGCTGAGGAGAAATGGCTTGGGTTCTTGTTAATACTTCTTGGGGAAGCGTCATTGATTGGAGCCCTTTTGGCTCCGCCCTAGGAAAAAAGGGTTTGAAGGATTTATACTGGCATAAAGAAGATAACACTATTTATAGCGATACTATTAATGATACCATAGTATGGCATGCTGGAGGGTTTTCTCCTCCTGGTCCTCATTTAAATGGCTATCCTATCCAAAAGGACTTGTGGAAGCTTATGGCAGCTCTGAGAAAGATGAATGCCTGGGTAGGACATATGGTTAATAAATCTGAAAATCATAGTTTGATTTTTCATAAAGATGTTACTCGGTATACTCATAGTTGTGTGAAATTACCTTATATATTGTTAAAGGGACCAGCTGTACGGAATGAGACTCAAGGTATTATAATGTGTAAAAATTGCTCTCTGTATACCTGTATTAACTCTAGTATATCTTTTAACATATCTAGTGAAAGTTTGTATATCTTACGAGCTCGGACAGGTCTTTGGCTTCCTGTCAATCTTGGAAGGGAATGGCAAGAATCTCTTCCTATGGCTGTTTTGCAATATTCAGTTGATGCGTTAAAAAGAAGTAAAAGATTTGTAGGAATGTTGATTGCAGCTGTCATGGGTATTATAGCCATAACAGCTACTGCTGCAGTTGCTGGAGTTGCTTTAGAACAATCTATTCAGACCGTTGACTGTATAACTGACTGGCATAAACATTCTGGAATGCTTTGGTCCCATCAACGACAAATTGATTCGGAAATATATTCGGAAATAGCAGACTTACAACAAGCTGTGGTTATGTTGGGGGACCAACTTGTAAACTGACAAAGACAAATGAAGCTACGTTGTGACTGGAATCAAAGTGCCTTTTGTGTCACTTCAGTTCCATATAATCAGTCTGCATTCCCTGGGACAACAATAAAAAAGCATTTATTACATCACAAAAATTTGACAGAAGAAATTGTAAATTTACAAGGGAAAATTCAACAAACTTCCAGAAGAAATTACAACGACTTAATTCGCAAGAAGTATGGACTGGAATTATTCAAGGACTTAATAATCTAAATCCCATGTCTAAATTACATGCTTTATTTGGTTCTACTGCAGGATTGTTAATGCTCATTATAATAATAATCATATGTTTAGCTGTAGTTCGACGACGAGTGAAAGCTACCCGCCATGCAACATCGCAACAAGCTGCCGTGTTCTCCTTGATGCTACAAAAATTGTAAAACAAAAAGGGGGAAATGTAGTGGGATAACTGAGGACATGGAAAGGAGATGTGACCCATGAGCCGCCCTCCCCAGGCAAACTGGGGGCTGGCGAATAAGCCAGAACTGCCAACAGTCCTGATTGCTTTGAGCCCACCCCCACCCCCACCCCCCGGCAAACCGGGGGCATGCGAATAAGCCAGAGTTGTGAACAGTTCTGAATGCTTCGAGCGCCCCCCCCCCCGGCAAACCGGGGGCCTGCAAAAGAAGCATTGAGTGCTCTGGGCACTGATCCATGAGTTGTCCTCAGTATAATCAGAGTGGTGGGAACGCAAGGAAATGTCCTTGTGCTACTTCAGTATAACCCAAATAATGGTGGGAACTTTGTGCTGTTCTTGCGCTCAAGGACGAAGCACGGCAGGTGCTCACGAAAGCCAATTATTGCTTGTATAATTAATAAAAACATAGGTTGCTGCTTTGGCACTTCTGAAATGTTAAGAAAACAAGTCTTAAAGTGTAAATCTATATAATCCTTTAATATAAGTTAGGACAGACGGCGCTCTTTTGCCTGAGCGAGCGGCAGCCCTCTATTGCTGTGCTTCGGCACAATTCATGTCGTGTGATGAGCTTACTTTCGGCCCTGTCCTAAGATACTACAACACAAACCAAAGCCATAATTCTGTGTGCTGTTTGGAATGCCTGCTTTAGGCCCCGAAAAAGGAGTTGAATGAATTTTGGTGGGGAAGATTTCTTAGGTTGTCTTTTTGAAGAGGCGGTAGTTGTCTGAGACGCTCCACACCTCTTCCTTCTTAACTGGCTTGGTAATTCCTTAGAGGACCTCTGTATTATGGCTGTACTATTTGTGTAGAACTTTGTGTTTTGTGTTCTGACTTCCCTGAGGATTCTTTTCATTGGATGTTTTGAATCATGGGTCCTTTTTGTTCTCACTTTAGCCCACTTTTCATCCTGATTGCTTTCAGAGTCACTCTCTGATAGAGAGTGAACTTCAGTGAATCCATAGTGTCCAGCCTCTCTAATTTCTGTCTTTTCTACTAGGCCAGGGCTGCCGCCTTGCCTTCGCCTGATGTGGACTTGTATAGGAGCAGGACACTGGGAAGACCCAGACTGGAAATCTATTGTAGAAGTAGGACTCTTGGAAGCTTGAGTATAGCCTTTAGCTTTCCTTAGTGATGTTGATCTAAGGCTCCTTGGTGTGATGGGTCTACCTCTTCTATGATACTCTGGGACTTGGGGTCTTTTCCTAGTCTGCAACCTAAAGCCAAGACGCAACCTGATCTCTCCACGGCCTTCAGGAGTGCTTACAAGGTGAAGCTGTGGATAGATAAGAAGATAAGTTCCAAAAGTGGCCTGTAATTTATGACAGCAATTAAATCCTGAACATCGGCCACACTGTAGGCAGATAGGGTATTTTAGAACCAGACCTGAAGCTAAAGGTGGAGGTACGTTGGGGGGTATCTGACTCCTTAACAGTTTTGCTGCTATTTTTAGCTGCAGATCTCGTAGAAGCTGGAACTGTTCTGGGAAGTCAGACTTGGCCTGGGGAAGATAACTTGGCTTGAGGGAGTGTTGGGACTCAAAAATCCTTGTCTGTGAATCACTCTGTGAGTTCTTACTCTCTTCCACTGGAACAGAAGCTCTCCTAGCAAAAAATACGTTGAAGGAAGACTCTGACTTTGCTGGGGCAGAAAGCTGACTCCCTGTACATGAAACAGGCATGTGCTGAGTGACTTCCTGGGAGGTATCACAGGGCTTTGAGTTTGTTTTCTTTATTCTCACTCTAGTGCCAGAGTAGTGCTGTATTATGGAGGACATGGAGACACGTGTCCACATCCTTAAGGCCATTCTTTTCTCATGACCATGGCATGAAGTATGTCTCTGAATGTAGTTTTTGACAACTGAAGGCTGAGAAATAGTACCTTGACCCTTCTCAAGCAGACTCTGGGAAAATTCCATCAATTCAACTGGAACCCCAAATAAATTCTGAATAGATTGACAGGTATCTGCAGTGGCTCTTTCTGTTAAAGATGTTTGAGAATAAAGCTTCCTTTCCATGCTGGTCCCCAAGACATTGCCCAGCGTTAGCATACTGGAGAGGTATTTTCGAGGCAGTCGCTGCCTCCAGGAGCGACTCTCCCAGACATTCCGTCGTCTGCCCAGGACAGGCCAGGTAAGGCCTCTTCGAGCCCCTGATCCTGCCTGGAAGATCCTAGATAGTGATCTCCAGTTTTGTGGTGGATGGTGGGAAAGGCTCCAGAATGTGCTCCCTGACTCCTCCACCTGTTTCCTCTTAATCCTTTCGTTAGATATGACATCCACTCCTGGGATCTCAGAATTTAACTTAGAAGAATTCATACCTTGAAGTTTTGAAATGGAAGTTAATTCAGAAGTGTTTGTGCCTTGCAAATGTGGCCCAGGGTTGCATCCAGTAGAAATTACACACTGAAGTTTTGGTTCTGAAATGAATGCAGAAGAATTCACACCTTGCAAATTAGGCCCAATGCAGAGCACCTTAGGTTTTCTACCTTGAAGCTGTGGACTAGGATTCAACCCAGAGGACTTTATACCTTGCACCTGTGACCCAGTATTGACTGGCATATAATTTACACACTGAAACTGTGGCCCTGGATTCTGTTCAGAGCATTTCCCACCTTGTAATTTAGGCTTATGCTTGAATTCCAGAAACTGCTCATCTGGAAGCTTCATTCCTGTGCTCAACTCAGGTTTTACCTCTTGCAACTGTGGTCGAGGATTGAACTCGAAATATTGAATATCGTGAAGCCTTGTTCCCAGACAAAAATCAGAAGATTTCACATCTTGCAACTGTTGGTCAGGATTGAATTCCAAAGATTTCACATCTTGAAGCTTTGTCCCTTTACATAATTCTGAAGATTTTATATGTTGTGAATGTGTCCCAGGATTGAACACCATGACTTTTACACTTTGAAGTTCTGGCCATGGATTCAACTTATAAGATTTCTCATCTTGCCACTGCTTTCTACCACTGATCTCAGACAATATTCCACTATGAATCTTTGATTCCAAGGCCAACTCAGAGGGTTTTGCAACCTTGAATTCTAGACCAGGGTTGACCTCTGTAGAGTTCATTAGTTGAAGCTTTATATGTTCAGAAGATTTTGCACCTTGCAATTTTGCCTCAGGGTTGAATTCCATAGATTTCACACCTTGAAGGTGTGCCTCTGGTGTCAACATAGACAATTTCCTGTCTTGTAACTGTGGAGCTGAGTTAAACCCCAAAGATTTCACATCTTGTACCTTTGTACCAAGAGTCGATTCAAAAGGTTTCATATCTTGCCACACTGGCCTGGTGATGAACTCCACAGATTCTCCACTTTGAAGCTTTGTCTCTGGTGTTAACTCTGAAGATGTCACACCTTGCAACCATGGAACAAGAGATTTCAAATCTTGAAGCCTCCACTCTAGCATCAAATCAGATTTCTCACCCTGTCTCTGTGGTCCAGGGTTGAACTCCACTGATTTCACACCTTGAAGCTTCCTCCTCTGGGTTAAATCAGATTTCCCACCTTGTAACTTCAGTCCACAGTTAAACTCTAAGGATTTTACATCTTGAAGCTTTGTCCCTTGAATCAACTCAGAAATTTTTTTGCTTTGTGTCTGTGGTCCAGAGTTGAACACTGATTTCGCTTTCGGAAGCTTTGTCCCTGGGATCACTTCAGAAGATTTCATACCTTGAAAGTGTGGTCTAGAACTTAACGGCTTAGATTTTACATCTGGAAGCTTTATACCCATGATCAGCTCAGAACATTTCATATCTTGTAAGTGTGGGCCTGAGTCCAACTCTACAGATTTCACACCTGGAAACTTCCTCCCCAGAGTCAAATCAGAAGATTTCTCACCTTGTAACTTTGGACTAGGTTTCAGTTCTACAGACTTCACACCTTGAAGCTTTTCCCTTGGGATAACTCCAGACAATTTCATACCCTGCAAGTTTGGTCCAGACCTGAAATTCATAGATTTTACATCTTGAAGCTTTATACCTGTGATTAATTTGGAAGATTTCATATCTTCCAACTGTGGACCTGACCTGAATTCCACTGATTTCACTTTTTGAAGCTTTGTCCCCAGTATCAACTCAGAAGATTTCACACCTTGCAATGGTGGCCCAGATTTGGACTTCACAGATTCCACATCTTGAACCTTTGAGTCTGAGATTAATTTAGAAGATTTCACTCTTTGCAATTGTGGCTCACAGTTGAACACGAATTTCACATTCTGAAGCTTTGATCCCAGAATCAGCTCAGAAGATTTCAGAACTTGCAACTGAGGACTGGGGCTGAAATCTTTATGTTTTACATCTTGAAGCTTTATCTTTGAGGTCCATCCAGAAGATTTCACACCTTGTAACAATGACCCAGGGTTGAAATCTGTAGATTTGACACCTTGGATCTTTTTCCCCACAGTCAATTTAGAAAATGTTGTACCTTGCAACTGTGAGTCAGAGATGAACTCACTAAACTTCTTATCTTGGGACTTTGTCTCAAGTGGTGACTTAGAAGATTTTAGGCCTTGCCACTGTGGCCCACTGTTGAAATCCTCAGATTTCACACCTCGAAGCTCTGTCTGAAGAGTCAACTCAGATGACTTCATACTTTTCAAGTGTAGTAGGGAGTTCAACTCTATAGTTTCATCACTTTGTAATTGTGACTCTTGGCTTAATACCCCAGATTTCACCTCAGGAAACTCTGGCTCTTGTGTAAGCAATACAGACTTCACACCTTGAAGCTGTGTTCCTGGGGATGATGGTAATGGTTTCCCTTCTTGAAACCATGGTCCTGGGATCAACTTAGGAGATTTTCCATCATGCAAGTGAGGTCTAGATTTGAACATCATGGGTTTTATATCACAGAGCTTTGACGTGGAAGTCAGGTCACATGATTTCTTACTTCTAAACTGTAGACAAGGTTTCAAATTGAGACCTTGAGGCTGAGGTTCTTGGAGTGATGCCAGAGATTGTATACCTTGGAGCTTTGGCCTTGGAGTCAATACCGATGGCTTCTTATCTCTTAATTGTATCAAAGGTTTCAACTCTGCTGGTTTGGCACATTGAGATTGCAACCCAAGATTTAGCAGAGATTTCACACCTTGAAACACTAGTGCAGGCATCCACTGAACAGCTCTCATACTTTCAAGCTGTGGCTTTTGGTGTAACTCCACAGTTTTCCTACCTTGAAGCTGTGGCTCTGAGGTTGATGCCAAAAATTTTCCTTCTTGCAGCTGTGGTCCTGGGGATACCTCAGGAGTTTCCACACTCTGCAACTGTGGCCCAAGGTTGAACTTCATATATGTTGCACCTTGAATTTTTGGCCCCAGAGGCAATTCAGATGACTTCACATCTCTTAGCTGTATTGAAGATTTCAACTTTACAGATTTGACCCCTTGAGATTGTGACTCAAGATTTGGGGTCAACTTCATAGATTTTACTCCTTGCATCTTTGGCTCTGGAGGGAACTCAAAAAACTTCACATATTGTTGTTGTTGCCCTGAGTTTAACTCTGAAGATTTCACACCTTGAGTTTGAGTTCCTGATGTCAGGTCACAAAATTTGACATCTTCTATCTGTGGCCCTGAGGTTATCTCCACAGATTTCTTAACTTCCAGCTGTGGACTTGGGGTTAGCAACGTAGATTTCATACCTCTTGGACATTGTCCTGGAGTCAAGGCCACAGAGTTCAGATCTTTCAACTCTGACTCTGAGATCAACAACTCAGATTTCAAATCATGAAGTTTTGAGCCTGGGGTCATCTCTACCGGTTTCACATCTCGCACCTGTGGCCCAAGGGTTAACACTGTAGATTTGACATTTCCCAGTTGTGGCTTTGATGTTAACTGCATAGATTTCATACTTCCCAAATGTGGCCCTGGTGTTAACTCCACAGATTTCGTATCTCCCAGCTGTGGCTCTGGCGTTAGCGCCTCAGACTGTAAACCTTGAAGCTTTGAGATTGGGGTCCACTCTACAGGTTTTACATCTTGCAACGGTGGTCTTTGGATCAATTCAGAAGATTTCACAACTTGTAACCATGGTCTTCTGGTCAACTCAGAATAGTTTACACTTGGCAACTGCGGTCTAGGAGTCAACTCCATAGATTTTGCATCTGGTATGTGTGGCTCTGAGACTAATTTATATGAAGTGTCACCTTCAAAGCTTGACATTTGGTCTACTGCCACACATTTTACACCTTGAAACAGTGGCTCTGGTACTAACATCTCAGGCTTAACGCCTTGCTGCTCAGGTCCTGGGGTCAACTTCATAGATTTTACTCCTTGCATCTTTGGCTCTGGAGTGAACTCAAAAAAATTCACATATTGTTGTTGTTGCCCTGAGTTGAACTCTGAAGATTTCACACCTTGAGTTTGAGTTCCTGATGTCAGATCACAAAATTTGACATCTTGTAGCCGTGGCTCCACCTGTTTCACACCTTGAAGCCCTGGAGACATCTTTGCTGATTTAGAATCTTGAAGCCCTAACTCTAGAGTCGTCTCCACAGAAGTCACACTATGAGACAGTGGTCCTGGGGTTTGCTCCCCAGATTTGACACCTTGAAGCTTTGGCCCTGAAGTCAATTCAGAAAATTTGACATCTTGCTGCCTTGACCCTAGGTTCAGTTCCTCAGATTTCACATCTTGAAATTGTAGTTTTGAGGCCAGTTTGACAGATTTCAAGCTGTGAAACTGTGATCCTTCAACAGACAGAACAGATTTCATATTTTCAGCTGGGAGCCCTTGACTTGACTGCAAAGATGACTCTGTTACAAATCCTACAGACTTTATATCTGGAAGCTGTGTTCCTGGTATAAACTGCACATGTTTGAAACCTTGATGCTTTGGTTCTGGGGTCAAATCAGAAAATCTGATACATTGCAAGCATGGTCCTGAGTTTAGTTCCATAAATTTCATACTTTGAGGTTGTGATTCTGCAGTCAACTTTACAGATACAACACTTTGATGTTTTGGTCCTGGGATAAAATCTGACAATTTTATTTCTTGCACTGGGGAACCTGGGGTCAATTCATCAGATTTCACACCATGATGTGGTGACCCTGAGATCAAATCTATAGGTCTTTCTCCTTGAAGTGGCAGCTCTGGAGATAACTCTGAAAATCTTACACTATGCAGCTGTGGCCCTTGGAGCTGTGCCTCCTTAGTCAATTCCTCTGATATCATGCTTTGTAGCACTGGCTCTTGTATTGGCTTCTCTGATTCTACCACTCTGGTAGTAGTTGACTGTTGAATTAAATTAACATATTTCACATCTTGTAATTTTGGCTCTGGCTCCAACTGCCTAGACTTTACTGCCTGGAGCTGTGGCTCTGGGGTCAACTCCATAACATGTGGTTTTGGTCCTGTAATAAACTGTTTAGATCCTACCGCTAATGGGGATGACTCAGAGGTTAACTGCACGTATTTCAAATTTTGCAGTAGTGGCCCTGATATCTCACGTTGCATCCCTGGTCCTAAAGTCAACTCCAGAGATCCTTTTTCTGAATATGGTAGTACTGGTATTACCTCCTGGATGTTTTCAACTGGAAATGTTGCCAACCCCACAGTTTCTGTGTTTTCATATTCTGACCTTAGGGGTATCCCTGATGACTCTGTAACCTGAAGATGTGGCCTTAGAGGAGTCATTCCTGTAGATTCTCTAACTTGACCTATTGGTTTTTGTGTTAATGCTACTTGGGGCAAAGCCTCAGAAGTCAGCCTCACAGTTTCTGTATCTTGATAGCCTTGACCTAGAGTCATCTCTGAAAATTTTTGAAAATGTGGCCTAGGCACCACCCCAGCAGTTTTCAAGACTAGCTGTGGGATCAGTTTCACAGATTCTTCCTCTTGTGGGAAGATCTCAGCAGCTAACTCTGCATGCTCTGTGTCTTGATGCCTTGGTCTGGAAGTTAGACCCACAGATTTCAATCCTTGTAAATGTGGTTCCATGGTCACTTTCCTTGATTCAACATGCTGTAACTGTGTCTCAGGAATTAACCTACTAGATTCTTCCAGTGGCACGTGTAAATCCACAAAATTATTATCATGCATTAATGGCCCTAGAGTCAACTCCTCAGGTTTTATACTTTTGGACTGTGGTTCTGAGGTCAATGGAACAGATTTCACATTTTGAAATTGTGGTTCCAAGATCAACTCCTCATAGTTCATAACTTCTGAATATGGTCCTAGATTCAGATGAACAAACTTCATACCTTGGGACTCTGGGGTCAACATCTTTGATTTCATACCTTGCATCTCTGATCCTGGTACCAACTCTAAAGATTCTTGTATTGTGTGCTGTGACACTGGAGTATCTCCCATGGCTTTTACACCTTGGAACATTGGCTCAAGAGTACCTTGGAATGACATTGAGTTCATCTGCATAAATTCTGAAGCTTGGCTCAGTGGCCCTGGAGTATTTCCTAAAGATGATTGTATCAACTCCCTAGATTCTTTTGCATGGTGACAAGTGTCAGAGGTAAACTTTGCTTCTGTTTCTGGATATCCTGGCTCTGAGATCATCCTTAAAGATTCTGAAGCTTGATGCCATGGGGTCAATCCTTTAGGTTCTGTGACTTGATGGTTCGGTTTGAGGTTCAACTCTACAGATTTTACTGCTTGAATGTGTGCCCCTGGGATCAGTTCCTCATATTTCATATCTTCTACCTGTGTCTCAGGAATCAACCTCCTACTTTCTGCCATTTGAGGAGTTTTCACATCTTCAAGCAATGATACAGGAGCTGTCTCCTCAGATCTTATATCTTGTAACCATGGCTTTGGGGCAAGCTCCACAGATTTCATATCTTCTTGTACTGGTCTTAGAGTCAACTCCACAGTATTTATACCTGGAAACTCTGATGGTAGGGCCAAATGAACATATTCCATACCTTGCAACTGTGAACTGGGGACCAAGTCTATAGATTCCCTACTTTGCAACTGTGGTGCTGGGACTAACTCAGCAGATTTTTCATTTTGTTGTTGTGGTCCCAGGGTCAATTGGATAGATTTCACACCATGAAGCTGAGACCCTGGGGCTGACTGCACAGATTTCTCACTTTGCAGCTGTGGTATGGAGGCCAACTCATCAGGTTTTATACTCTGCAGTTGTAGTTCTGGGGCCAATTCTATAGAGTTCACAGTTGGGATCAGCTGTCCATATTTTACCATTTGTGGAACTGAACCTGTGGTTATGTCTATAGATTTTGAATTTTGCAACTCTGGTCCCAAGATCAGTTTCCCAGATTTCAAATTTTGCAATCCTGGGGATAACTTCATAGAATCCATAACATTAAATTGTGGCATTGGCTTCATCCCCATATACTTCACATCTTGAAGCAGTGATGAATCTTGTAGCATTTCTGTAGATTCTGTGACTTGAGGCAGTGGCTTTTGGCTCATTCCCATAGATTCTGTACCTTGACCCAGTGACCTTGGGATTGTCCCTAAAGATTCCATCATTTGACGGTGTGACTGTGTCACCTCTACAGATTTCTCCATTTGTAGCCAGGTGTCAGATGTCAAACCCATAGTTTCTGTGACGTGATGGCTTTGCCTTGGACTCATCTCTGAATACTCCAGAATTTGATGCCTTGGGGTCAACCTTGAAGACTCCATGACTTGATGAGGTGGTCCTGGGGTTAATGACGTAGATTCTGTTCTTTGATGATGTGGTTGTGGAGTCATCCCCTCAGAGTCTAGCACTTGAATGCATGACTCAGGAGTTGACTCCAGAGATTCCTTGGCTTGAGATATTAGCCTTGGGGTCAAATCCTGAGTTTCTACAACTTGTGACTGTGGTGCTACGATCATTCCCATGGGTGACCCCAGTGCTGTTGGAGTTACCTTTAGAGAATGTATGGATTGTTGTGATGGCATTGGAATCAATCCTACCAATTCCATGATTTTAGGTGGTAGCTTTGGAGGTAAGCCCACAGATTCTACCACTCCACATGGACCAATAGTAGTAGGAGAGCAAGAAGAAGTCAAACCATCTGATTGAGTTGCCCTTGGGGTCAAATTTGCAATTTGAGACTGTGTGTCTGGAGTCAAACCCCCAGATTCTATAACATGTGACTGGGTTGGTGGAATTATCCCCATGAAATCCATAGCTTGTAATAGTGTCACTGGAGTTACTTCCAGGTAATCCATCACTGGATGCAATGGCCTGGTGATCATTTCAGGTGATTTTGTATTTTGACATATTGGCCTTGGAGTAATCGTCAGTGGTTCTATGACTTGACTTTGTGGCCTTGATGTTACGTCCACCGATTCCATAACTTTATGCTGTGGCCCTGGGGTCATTTCCACAGTTTCCATGACTGCATGTTGTAGGCTTGGACTCATCTTTCCTGGTTGTATGACTTCATGGTCCAACAATGTGGTCCTTTTCACTGACTCCTTGACTTGATATTGCATCCTTGGGGTCATTCCCTCTGACTGTATGATAGGTGGATGTGATTTTTTAATCATCCCCATAGAATCCATGACTTGAAGCAATGCTATAGGAGTTACCTTCACATTGCCTATGACTTGATTCTGCTGTCTTGAGGTCATCTTCCCTGATTCCATAACTTGCTGCTGAGATCTTGGGGTTACCTCCACTGATTTAATGACTTGACGTGATGGGTTTTGGCTTACACTCACTGTTTCCGTGGCTTCCATTGGTTTCACGACTTCACTTGGTGGCCGTGGTAACAAACCTACAGATTCTATCACTTCTGAATGTGATTCTGGAATTAACCCCATTGAATCCATGACTTGAAGTAATGCCAGTGGAGTAACCTTTATGCTATCTCTGACTTGATATGGTAGCTGTGAGGTCAGCTCCACATTAGTCACTTGGGTCTTATGCTGCTGTAGAACAGGCCCCTGAGCCACAGAAGCAGAGGAGGTGGAAGAAGAAATCGTATCCTGTGGTTCAGGCAAACCCAATTCCATAAGACTTGATCTAAGAAATAAAGAGAAAAGTTTCTATTTGTTTTGAAACAGGAAAAGGAGAAGTAGGAAAAGGGAAAGATAGTGGCCATTTCAAATGCAAAATAATGTGGACCGAGGGAAAACAAACAAAAACAAACAAAAGGTTTGCTTTCCCCAACATCAGTTATTTATGGAAAGAATTCCTCCACCAGGAGAAAGGGAGGCATTTGTTCCCATTCCAATCAGAAATGATTCAGAGACCAGTTGTTCTTAAACTTTGTTTGAACCCAGAACTTCCCCCACTACCAAGACTAATTAACTAACTAACCATCTTTCTTCTCCCTCTCCTTCTCCCTCCCTCCCTCCTTCACTCTCTTCCTTCCTCCCTCTTAAAAGTTCTACCACCTTCAACCCCAACCAAGAAACTACTTGACCTTGCACTTTCCAGGTGTTGGACGATCTGTTGAAGACTCCTGTCCATTGACCAGCATACACATTCCTGGGACCAGCCCGTAGGGAGTCCTGAAAAGCTGGATGCAACAGAGTATGTCAGTGTAATTGAAGTGATATTAAAGTACTGGTAAGGAAAACAATAAGAAGAGAGACTCAGAAAGGAGACAGCTATCATAGCGAGGGAAGTAAAACAGAGTCCCAGGTATCTTACTCCTAACTTTTATAGAATTTATCAGTAGGGTAGGCTGAAGAGAGAAAGAATAGACACAGTGAAGATCGACTTTACTCACCCTGTTAGGTTAGCTTCAACGCAACCCATCCTGAGATTTTCTTCCCACTGTGGATCTGGGAGTAGAGGTAAAGAATCTATTAGCATTATGACTATTGACATCACCTTAGTTCAACCCCTTCATTTTGCAAATAAGGAAACAAAGACAAAGCCATGCCTAAGATCATAAAGCTTATTAGTGGTGGAGCTCAGATTTAACCTAGCTCTCATTTTGTTTGTTTTTTTAAGCTGTAGGATGCTGTCTTCAGCATGTAGTAGATGTAAGCCATTGGAAAGAGCAGGAATAATCATGATAGGGAGATGGAGTGGGGTAAACAGAGGAATACATATCTTTGGAGGAAAAGATATGTATTATCCAGTGTCTATGCTAGAGAAAAAAGGTACCAAAACTTCCCGCATCAAACTCTTGGTAGTTACCCCTTGTTTGTTCTTCAGTCTCACCGTGTTTCTTTCCTGGTACTTTGAGCTTTGCACAAAAAGAGATTAGGAAAGCATGAGGATAGGAAGCATGGAAAGAATTATGGAGCCATTTACATTTCTTTGGAAGTGGAGATGCTAGAAAGAGTAGGGCTATTTCTTTCATTTACATAGTCGTTTCAACCTTCTTCCTTCCACCTGCTATTAAAGGTTAGCGTCTTAAAACAGACCCCGTAGTTGATTTGTCATTAGCTTTGAACTGAAGAATAGGATCTTTCTGACCTGTGAATTTCTGGATCTTTTTCAATTTATGCTGCTTTGAAGTCTAGAAAGGAACAAAAAGAAAAAATAAAATCAGGTAATACTCTAGGTTAGAGACTTTATTGACAGTGCACTTCATCTCATAGACATAAATATTGATACTGTTGGTATCCATAACCACAGCAACAGTTATGTCATTCATTTATTCATGAATCATTTATTGAGTACTTACTTAGTTCTCAGTATTGTGTAGGGTGCTGGAACTGTAGAGATAAATATGATCCCTGTGTTCTAGGAACTTACACTAGTAGGGAAAATAGATGTCTAAACAGATAAATTACAATACCATGTGGTAAATGCTGTAACAGAAATATAAGTGTGGGGCTTCCCTGGTGGCGCAGTGGTTAAGAATCCTCCTGCCAGGGCTTCCCTGGTGGCACAGTGGTTGAGAGTCTGCCTGCCGATGCAAGGGACACGGGTTCGTGCCCCGGTCCGGGGAGATCCCACATACCGCGAAGTGGCTAGGCCCGTGAACCGTGGCCGCTGAGCCTGCGCGTCCAGAGCCTGTGCTCCGCAACGGGAGAGGCCACAACAGTGAGAGGCCCGCATACTGCCAAAGAATCCTCCTGCCAATGCAGGGGACACGGGTTCGATCCACGGTCAGGGAAGATCCCACATGCTGCGGAGCAACTAAGCCCGTGCTCCACAACTACTGAGCCCACGAGCCACAACTACTGAAGCCCATGCGCCACAACTACTGAAGCCTGCATGCCTATAGCCCCTGCTCTGCAACAAGGGAAGCCACCGCAATGAGAAGCCCACGCACCACAACAAAGAGTAGCCCCTGCTAGCCACAACTAGAGAAAGCCTGTGTGCAGCAACGAAGACCCAACGCAGCCATAAATAAATAAATAAATAAATAAAATAAATCTATAAAAAAAAAAAGAAATGTAAGTGTGAGGGAATAAAGAGAACAGTGATTAACTGCCTGGGAGAGAAGGGAAGAATTCCTCAAGAAGTTGCCATTTGTACTGGAGTATGAAGAATCAACAGAAGGTTTTTAGGTGAAGAAAGGGCATTCCAGGCAAGTGGGAACATCACTGAGAAGATTAGAGCATCATGATTGTTAGGTGCACTTTTGCTAAGTAGTGAGAGATGAAGCTAAAAACATAGGTGGAAGCCAGATTATGCCAGATTATGTGGGATTTTTATTTTATCCTGCAGGTCAGAATTTCCCATCCAGTAGTTAATAAACTCCTGGGGTTTCTGCAAGGGTGTTCCAGGTCATTTTAAAGGCATAAATGACACTTGTTACAATTTCAAATAAAACTTTTTTTATTTCTTCCCTTTATATTAGGACATCAGTCTCTGAAGGTATATTAAAAGAGCCTACACAACAATTAATTAGGGAATCATGAACATGCTCATAATGCAGTAGGCCAGTAGTAGAATAACCCTAGCTGCAGTGGTAGTTTTGAACTTCGGACGGTTTTAAATTGATTTTATACTTAGTCATATATTATTTAATTTATGTCCATAATGGACTGTTGATTGAAAACATAAGCAAAAGGAAAACGGATGTTGAAATACAGGTTGATGTATTTACAAATGATCTTTCTATATATTTATCTCAAAATGATCTCTACATATCATAGACCTAAATAATCTCCCACTAGAAAACACTTGGGAATGCTGAATAAAATACAACAAACATCTTTTAAATGCAGAATGTAGCTCCTTACAAGAAAGTAAGGGAAATCTCCAGGTCAAAAATCAGAAGAAAACTGAAAAACAAGAGTGGAAACTAGTTGAGACTTCAATGCCTTAGGTCATTTGCAGTGTCAGCCACTGAGGGACTTAGGTTAACAGTAAGGTGGGGACAAAGATAAGGCCCATGTGAAGTGGCCATTTAAATGAGACCCCAGGAAAAAAAGCCAGGCTTGTCAAATTGCTGCACACTTGGTAAAAAGTGGCTAGAAAAAAATCTGCTCACCAGACAAGGAAACTTGAACTCTGGGTGGGAAAAAAAGCCTTCTCTGAAAATTTTAACCAAGAGTCTATCCTCACACCGGTTTGAAATTCTAATTTATATTCCTTGTGTAGTCAGGAACCCTCAAAATGAAAATAAATGTGGTCCTGGGCTGATAATGCCCCTAGGGCAAAAGGCAAAAGTAAATATAAATCTTGAAAATTGAAGTAGGAAAGAGAAGAAAAATAGTTTGAATAACTATATTAATAAACGTGAAATGCCTAATGCAATGGTTAAATTCTTAGAAAAAATATAAAATATAAAAATTGGGTAAAAAGAAATAGATCATTTGAGTAGACCAATAAGCATGAAAGCAATTGAAATGATACTCAAAGACATTATCCATCAGAGGTAATGAAAGGATTCACCAAGGTTTCTGAATACCAGAAAATCTTATAAATGTCAATAGCATTTCTCTACTGAAGCAAACAAACTAGAAAAATATAATTTTAAATATGAAAGATATTTTCCACAATAGCAATAAAAATGATAAAGTATCAAGGTATTAACCAAAAAGAGAGAAGACCATCATGTAGAAGACTATAGAACTCTATTAAAGGACATAGAGCTGCTTGGCGAATATGTGCACATACATTTTCCGCCTCCTGCTACACTCACAACTTCTGTCAGGTGTTTCTTATGTTGCTTAAAATGCCATCTCTTCAGTCATTCAGGGTTAAAACTGAGAAGTCATCCTTTCATTTCACAAACGCCTGTGGAACACTTACTATATCCCAGGCAGTATACCAGGCATAGGGGATACAAAGATGAATATAGTCCTCATAGGAAAATGATGATAATGTTTATAATTAACTCTTTATATTTGAGGCCCAATCAGGAAAAAAAAGACTCAATCCCTTTACTCTCTTTCTGCCTCACTTCCTATAGCCAAACTTTCACCTCAGGACCCTCCTCCTCTCTCACAGCCCCGAGGGCAGAGATTTTTGTCCCTTCCATTTACTGCTGCATCCATAGTGCCCAGAGGAGTGCCTTGTACATGGTGGTGGCAGTGGGTGATAAACACCGGGGGAATGAATCAATGTCCTCTTTTCCATCTTACTGCTCTGATTCTTTCCCTTCCTTCCCCCTCCTTCCCACTAAGTCTTTTTACGTGGGCTTCTCACTGTCGTGGCCTCTCCCGTTGCGGAGCACAGGCTCCGGACGCGCAGGCTCAGCGGCCATGGCTCACGGGCCCAGCCGCACCGCGGCATGTGGGATCTTCCCGAACCGGGGCACGAACCCGTGTCCCCTGCATCGGCAGGTAGGCTCTCAACCACTGCGCCACCAGGGAAGCCCTCCCATTAATTCTTTAAAGTAGACTCCTATTGGATTAGCTACACCAGAGAACCACCACATGCACTCACTGGAGTTATCTAAAGCCACACATTCAAAGCATGGTGCTTGGGACTTCCCTGGCGGTACAATGGTTAGGACTTGGTGCTCTCACTGTCATGGCCCCAGGTTCAGTCCCTGGCTGGGGAACCAAGATCCCGCAACCCACATGACGCAGCCAAAAAAAAAAAAAAAAGTCGAGATAAGGTATGGTGCTCAGTTCAATAGCAATAGGATCACCTGGGAGCTCATTAGAATTGCAAAATCTCAATCCCTTCCTGAATTAGAATCAGAATTCTACTGATTCAGAATCTGCTACTGAATCAGAATCTGTTTTTTAATTAGACTCCCAAGTGGTGTGTTTGAGACAAAAAAAGTTGAGAGTTTAAACTTTTTAAAGTTTAAATTCTGTGCTCTAAAGCACAGATCTAAGCACATTTTCACCTGGCTTTAAAATCTTTGATGCCTTTCAATTGCAGACAGAATAATATTTATACAAAGTATTCAGTCTGGTGTTTGAAGCCCTCTACAATGGGACCTCTAACCACTTTGTGACATTTTGTCTCACTTTTCCCCAACCGGTTCCCTACACTTGTACACTCCATTCCTGATAGGTGTCTTCACCTCTCCTTGAACACATCCAACGCTCTTCTGCTTCCCATGCTTTCCCCCGGTCAATTCCTTCTCTCTAGAAAATCTTCCACTACTCTCCTCCACCCATCCTGTCCACCTTCAAAATCC